GCTAATGAGGGTGTCCCTGCGCGGTGCGGGTTTATGGCTGCGCGGCCCTTGGAAGCGCGGGTGCGCAGGGGCCGGGGAGCGGGGCCGGAGCCAGAGCCGGAGCCGGGCTCGGGCTGTCCGTCTGTCCATCTGTCCCCCAGCCTGCCCACACCCGTGCTTTTGCGAGTAGTAAATGAGTAAGTATGTGAAAGCTTTTATTATGGATTTAATTACATTGTCTTATATCGTGGTAGTAAAGGTTACAGTTATCAGGGTGGTTGTTGGTTGAGTTTTTTGGGTTTGTTTTGCTTGGGTGTTTTGGTTGTTTTGTTTTTTTTTTTCTTTAATTTATTGGTTTCCCCTTATTTATTCTTTCCTCCTAGGCCCCTCAGTGCCAGTGCCTTTAAGTCCCCCGGTTAATGGAAAGCAATGACACTAATGCTAGATTTTGCAAAGTAAAGCCCCATAACACTAACCATTGTTCGGTGATTTAACTAGCTCAGTGGCAATAGGTCACTAAAATAGCATCCTTCTCCCACGGGCACGACCCCGGTGCCTGCCAGGGTGGGACCTGCAGAGTTGTTGTTTACCATTGCAGCTCCAGAAGTGCAAGGCTGGAGTTTGGGGTTTTCACTGGGGATAATTGAACTCGAGATCAACCAGGCCCCAGGACTTCAAAAATCCCTGGCTGAAGGATTACACCCACCCTCAAAGTTTCAAAATAAACCTTTTTTTTTTTTTTTAATTGTTAGCTTTTCAAACATTTGCATGTTTAAATTTTCAAATGTTTGTCAGAGCCCGGAAAGATTTAAAACACAGCTGTTGCGTGATGCGGCTGGGAAAACTCCCTCTGATTAAAAAAAAAAACCCAAACAAAAAAAACCAACAAACCCAAAGACCATCAGTAGTCAGATAGCAGAAATTCAGTTTCTTAGGTAATCCTCAACTATTTACTGTGGAGCTGTTTTCTTGAAGCCGCATCACCTTGGCACTCAGGTGCTCTAGTCCGAAATGTAAAATTCCCCTACAAGACCATGCCTACAGAAAGCCTTTAGAAAGCCCTTTCAGGAAAACACGGTATAAAGAAGCCACCTCATTTAAATAAAGTGCATATAGCAGGATAAAATAGATCTTATAGAGGCAAAACGGTGTTTTCTTACGTAAAATAAACTCGTTGAGCAAATCCACAGTAGTATTACTTGACAAAAATTGTAATTTAATAATGCACAAGCCAGTTATGTGCGCAGAAACTTTGAAAGGCAAATCGGCAAAGAGCCAAATTCCTATAGGGACTAGGAGGGAAATGATCAAAAAATGAACATGAAATAAGACTTCCTGTGAGAAGGTCCATAATTCAACATTATTTGACTCCACTGTCAGGGAAATTGTTGAAGGATAGTAAACTGATACTAGAGTCTCAGTCATTTTTGTTACAGTCTTAAATGTTTGCAACTGTGGCATTTTAGATGGCCCTTCTTGGGTGATAGTATATCATATATATATATATGTATATAATAAAGCAACACTTCCATTTATGTTGCAGTAGGTTTTTTTTTAATGCACGCTGTTGCAGAGTTTCTCTAAACAAAATGCGGCGAGGCAGCAGCTTTTTTTGAAATGGAAAAATTACTTAAAATGTAGTCTCTCCAAAGAAAGAACGATAAACTGGAACGCGATAGATGTAGCACATCTGAAGGTGGATGGGTTGTTTAGGGCATCGACCGGTTATAACTGGATGAACTTTCCCAAGTACTTCAAATATATTAGCTATACCTTGCAGCCGGTACAAAAATAATGCCTTGGGGGGAAAAAAATTACCGAGAAATACTATTTTCATGGGGACTTCTTTGCAGGTGTTTTCAAACCATGTATGGTTTTAAGCAGGGGGAGCTAAGACTATTACTGCCTTTGGTATATGTGCTCCCATGGTGGAGGAACAGGCATCAAAATAATAGATGCAGCGCAGAGGGTGCAAGGTAGAATTCATTTCTGCATAATAAAAGAGTTACAGCCAAGTAGGGCTCTGAGGAGGACCAATAAAATAACATTTAAAAGACTCAAAATTTCATTTTCTTCCTCTGACTTTATGCCACCTTGAGCCAGTGACTCCTTTTTTTTTGTTTGGTTTCTTGGGGTAATTTTGTTTTGCTGTGCTGTTTAGGAGCTGTTGCCATGCCCAAGTTTGGCAGCCTATTTAATGTAAAGATAGAACACATTAATTTATATTCTGGACCTGTTATCATCCGTAACACCGTGGCTGAAATTGTATTAGCAAAATAAGGTTTGCTTTGCTCTCCGTTTCTTTAAGCAAGTGAATATCTTGTTAAGTAGATATGAGATCAGGTATATTTAATTTATGATTTTCAGTTCAGTTCAAGAACCTTTGTTGGTTTTTGGAGTTTTTAAAAAATCATTCAAGAGCCCGAACGTAGCCATCTTTACGGCTGGGTGTAATATTTGCTGCCTTCCTTAGGTCACGTGCTCAGGCCTAACTTCTGCGTAAAGTTGTTCAAACTGAGGTTACCTTTCGTTGCAAAGGTTAATTTAATTTCCTAATTTTTTGCATCCTTTTCAATATCAAACCTGACAGAGCTGAGTTTAAAC